AAATAATATGAGTAAAAATAACACTTTTTACAGTAATTATAATAAACTAGAGCCGAGCTCGTTGCAAAGCAACGAATAGGTCTTCCGTTGGAGCTACGGAAAGGAAGACGTAACCTTAGTTAGGTCAAACCATTCTAAATAAGCAACCTAAAGGCTTGTTAAGGAAGCAATTACAATGTTTCGCCAGGAAAAAGCTATAAAGGAATGTTATGTGCATGACCTTGAACTTTCTAAATGACCTTGCGACAAGCAATGACAAACTCTGTTAAAAAAATACATAATCTGTGTATTACCGACTGGAAAAGTTCCCGTGTTTTTTTTTTTAGATATTCCTTTAGTCCATATATCCACCCAAAACATCTTATCTTAAGTGACCTTGAACTTGAGTCAAGGTCATGCCCCACCCTGCATTATATGAGCAATGTTTCACTGGTACAAGTACGATTGAGAATTTAAAGTTTCTCTGTCAGTAACTGTGACTTGTCCAAAAGACTGGATATGTTCAATGCGTTTTTTTCTGGACATATATCTAATTGAAAGAATTTATTAGGTTCAAAACTATGATTTACACAATGATTTAACTAGAAATATATCTATAGGACATGAATGCCCCGCCCCAGTGTATATTAGTAAATAATGTAACATTAAATTTGTATAAGTGTGTGACGTTTGTTGAGAATATCTTAAATAGTTTCTTAAAAATTGAAATCTTAAAAATAGATATAGATTATAAAAATCAATTCAGATAATGCATATAGGCATAAGCTTACATAAAAAAAAATCTCACATGATTTCTTAAATACTAAGCAAATTGAAAATTAAAAACAAGTGAGGTCAAGGTCACATTAAAGTGAAGATCAAAATGTATCAGGATACTAAAGTTTGATAAAAATGTCTTGAATGGATTCTTCAAAACTGAAGGTTGCCCGTGTGGCACAGTGGTTAGAGCATCTAATCTACACTAAGGTTTGGATAGCTCTCATAAGTGTGTATCAGCATATGAAGTTGAGTAAAAATATAAATGCTTTCTTCAAAACTGAGCAAAATACTATCTGAATTAGGTAAAGTAAGATCAAGGTGAAAGAAGAGGCCAAAGTAAAAAAAAATGTATGTATCACCAAAAGAAGTAAAAGAATACTCAGTCTTGAATGGTATGTTTCTGAGTTAAACACTTACCTGAAAAAAGTTAGGTTAAGGTCAAAGGAAAGGTAAAACAAAATGTTGATGCAGTTACAAACGTGTAGCCTATAGTACGTATCGGCACATAATGCCCGGCCATTTTTATGGGGAAGCATCAAAGGTTCAATAAGAATGTTTTATTTGAAATTTGGAGACTTGTGAAATGATGCGTGTAGACCGATCCTATGGATGAGACCGGATAAATCAAGGTCGTGTGTCGTGGTACATGTAGGTGCTGGCATGAAAAGGATCCAAAGCACCTGACTCCATCAGGCATACATCTTGAAATTAATAAATGCACAAGCGAATACGATTGATTAAAACAAATATGAGATAAAGTGAAATAAAATAACATACAACGGGCAATTTTTACTGCTGTATATTTTTACGAATTTCGGTCCCAAAATGGTGATTTAAATTTTTAGACGTTGATCTTTTACGAATTGAATATGTCCGTAAAAATGAAAAACATTAGACGTAAAATTCCAGATCACATTGAATGCATTAACGTACATTCGTACAAATAATGTGTCAACAAACTCTATGTGTGAGAGAGAGAGAGAGAGAGAAAGAGAGTTATTAAATTGATATATCAATATAAACATTGCAACAAATTACATCATGAATTGTATAATTTTTTTTTCATAACCGTTATATACATGAGCAATGTACCCTTCATTTATTCATGTTTTTTTAAACACATAGCTAGGCACACGTGCCACCTGGTATATTTACCGAAAACAAAGAGAGACAATTCAAACTAACATAACTGAAGTGAAAGTATTCAAGTACAGCGTATTAAGAGGTCGAAGTTTTATTCAAAGCACTCGAAGCAGAAGAAAGTGTCCAAGATTGAAAACACGGGTATTCATTTAATTGGAAGATCTGTAATTATTAAGTCATTATCAGAAGTTATGCGTCTCGAAAAAAATACTAAAAACTCAGAGACCAGGTACTTTTTTTTTTTTTTTTTTTTGACTATTAAAACTTCAAAAAAAAAAAAAAGGTAGGTCTAACTGATTAATTAATTGACGGTGTTTGTATAATTTATATACAAGTTAATTGAGATTTACCTGTATGATCCCAATTGATGATTGGCTTAAAAGTGCTCAAAATACTAACAGTATACTAATTATATAGCCTCCATGGCGTGCATGAGCTTAATAGCAATTAGCATTACTTTTACACATACCATGTTAAAAATTTATACGAGCCGTTTTATAAATTATGTGAAATTTTACGCGTTTAAATTTTACGGATTTATTAACCTAAAAAAAAATACCCCTCATTCGGTAATATGAAAGAGGCGACATGATTTCAAAGCCAATTTCCACTATTGGAGTACACGATGTATTTCTAACATTCGACATGCCTGCGGCTCTCTGTGGCCACGCACGTTAAAAAAATAGTGGAGAAACAAAAGAGTGATGGTAAAAATAAAACGTACATATAGTACATTACCCATTTCAAGACTTCCATCACTAATTATAATTATTTGCTGAAGCCCCTTTTCAATTACAATTTTGATAAAATACATTAACACGGAATAGAGAAACAATTTTGCGCGAACAGGCCAAAGAAAGCGATCAAAATTCAAAATGATTTTATGCACTAGTGTTAGGAATTGCGATTTAATGCAAGATCGGTGAAGTATTCTTATTGATTCGATTAATAAAAAACACAATTTTCTATTTATTGATAGGTCTTCGTACACAATGGATTTTAAACACGATCACAGACCATGCAGACACTTGCTTTATTTACGACAATAGGTGGCTGGTACACTAGTGACCTCGATAGGCACCGTGGGATTTGCGCGTTGGATTACATAACTATTACAAACATCTAGGCGAACGTGGAGATCAACTAAATAATCGTGAATTATTCGATAATCATTGATAAAGTTTAAAATTACTTATAATAATAATTAATGTAGAAAGATAGATTTAATATATTCCGATGAAGACGTGTTCACTATAAAACTAATTAATAAAACATAAAAAAGAAAGACTAATTGTTATAAAAAAAAATTAATAGTAAAGACCTTTTTAGAAGAAATTTAACAGTAAATACCGTAGGTTATATTATTGATATCTTCCTGTGTAAAATTATACACACGAAGAGGTCTGATTTCCTTTCCGAATAAAAAACGCTATCTGTTTACCTGGCCTGCTTTCTACTTCGTGTTACGCAATACCCCCGGTATAATCGAGCAAAACAACATTTTCATCAGATCAAAAAGGTGTAAAAGAGCAATTTTGATCGTAAGATCCAGATTTAAGTTTTTACCGTTTTTGTGTTATAAATCAAAAGCTTTCAAGTTCCCTAATTCCCTAAATATAGGGGCCAGCCCCTTTTGAATAGCATTATACGAAAGCCCCTGCAATTATGCACAACTTTTGTTCTACATGTCTTAACAAAATATTTTTAGTTTTCAAGATATAAGGAAAATATGTGTTAATTTTCGCTTTTTTAGGCGTTCTAATTTTTTACCCCTATATAGCGCCATTTTGAATACAGAAATCGAAAAACAAAAACCGATGTGCACAACTTCAATCCTTCTGTAATCTAAAAACAGTAAAATTTCTGCTCCAGCTCTAGTGATCTCTGAGCCTTTATCTGGAAATAAAAGCCTATATTTTTTCGTTTAAAGGGAAATAACTCATAAGCGGAAGGAAATTTTTGAAATGTTAGACAGCATTCTGATAGAGTTGATTATCATCTATAATGTCTGAAAATTTGAGCAAAATCCATTGAGAAATGAGCGAGATATGAGGCCTCAAAGTTGGCGTCTAGGAAGAAAAAAAGAATAATAAGAATAATCTTAATCATCAGAATCAGTAGAAGGTCTTCCGTTGGAAACGGAAGACCTTGATAAAACCAGCTAATTCAGAAAAACTGTGTCTCCCGCGAAAGGAATAAAGAAGAGCATGCGCGCGGATCAAGGAAGGGGACAGGACACTTTAAGAAGGGCAGGCGGGGACAAAGGGAGCTATGATATAAATTTCATTGCAAAAGCTCCAAAACTTCTTGATACATCGCCTGAAAATGAATTTTTAACACACAGAATGTGAATAAACGTCTATGATCTTTAAAAAGAAGAGGGCCATAGGTAGTTGTGTATAAAATTTCACTGCAAAAAACCAAAGGCTTCCGAAGAGACGGCACGGAAAAAGAGTTAAAACATGATTTTTGAATTGATGACTTTGATTTTTGACCTTTGGACTTAAATAGGGGTCTTCTCTAGACCATAGAAGTTATGTAAAATTTCATTTCAAAAGCTCAAAGGCTCTATGAGACATCGTGAGGAATCGAAAGGTAATAGTGCAGACGGACGGACAGTCAGGCAGATATATACCCCCACTTTCATTAAAAGTGGGAACAACAACAACAACAATAATGATAATATATTAATGTTTGTTTTAATATAAATCAGTTAATTTTTATTTCTTGAAATCGGGTGTGACCGGAATGCTCATTTCTCCATGGCACCTGATCCAAACTTTGATGTTTCGGAGATCCGTGTTTGCATTGCTCCTATTTTGTATTGTTTTATGAATTTTGATAATTGAATACTTTTCGTTATCTATATATTTTTCTTGTTATAAAGGTGGTGGCTTTTTATATTATATAAATTGATGCATTAAATCCCTATGATAATTTGATGATATGAGTTAACCTTTATAATAGTCAGTCGAACGATTATACTTTGGGAGAATAAAGACATGAACTGAAATTCAGTCAGTGGATGGAAGTTATTTACTTTAGAATAAAGAGATGTATGTATAACAAGCGAGAAACTCGTATGAATTCTTTATTAGGGAAAATGCAGTAGCCAAGAACAGTGCTTTCTTTGGAGCAGGACACGGATCAATATGGATGGACGAGGTTAGATGTACAGGAACCGAGACTAATTTATTTCATTGTTCTAAATCAGAACTTGGTGATCACGATTGTAGCCATGGTGAAGATGCAGGAGTTATTTGCTCATTAGGTACGATGACTAAGTACGGCATTTGAACTAATATCACCAGACAGGGGGTTCAAGTGTCTATTTTTATGTGTTTTGTTCAAAAATTACTGTGAATTTTTCAGTACCCTGACTAATTCCTGCTTTAGTGATATACTTGTATATTTACATTTGCAAATGTTTTCCTTTATATAACACTACTGAAAGCAGTGTGAATTTACTGTATAAATAAGGACGGGCTCAAATGATTCGTATGGATAAACGTTTAACGTAATTTTTCAGTGAATATAAGTTATATCAACAGTATTTATACGATAGATGTTTTAAGAATGATACCTTATATTTTAAATGAATGAGAACGATGTTTTTATTTGATATTAAGGTAATGAATTAAATTTTTAAACAGAATTACCCATTGGCTGTCTATAGGTATTATGGATTGAAACCACAGTTAACTGACGAAAAAACAATATAGAAATAATGATTGAAATCTGGAGGTTAAATAAATATGTTTTTATGATCACTGGTTCAATAATTTTTTTTAATTCAAGTAAAAAAACTAAAGGAATTTAAAATTTCAACTTGAAAAAATTGCACATGTCAATGTTTTCTGTGTTTCATATAGTAAATGTTCCCCTTTTGAAACATAATGCTCATCACATATTGGAATGGAATTGCAAAAGGTTTACTCTTTCAAACTTTATTCAAGATGTTTCAAAACTCAACTGAGACCACACAAATTTCAAAAGAATATTCTTTTGTTCATGAAGATTAAATTTCCTTCCCATAGATAATATAAGACTTGTCAATGGATCGTTGCCCTATGAGGGACGGGTAGAGATTAAACATAACGGTGTTTGGGGTACAATATGTGATGACGAATGGGACAATAAAGACGCAGCCGTTGTCTGTTCTATGCTAGGCTTTCCGAGGTAAGTTTAATATATACATAATAATTTCAATATCTCATGTTTATTATAGATTTGTCAATTATCAAAAGTCTTACTAAAGACTTTTGTTTTTATTGATATTTTTCGGGTAGAAATTTTGCAACAGCCAATTCGGGCGCATTTTATGGACAAGGAAGTGGCAAAATTTGGATCGACGATTTGTCATGTAATGGTCATGAATCTATTATATTGCAATGCAATATCACAGCATTAGGCACACATAACTGTCAACACAGTGAGGATGCAGGAGTACTTTGTTCACGTGGTACGTATGAATTTTAATCTTCGACAATTAACCCTTTAAATGAAAAATATTAAATCACAAATAAATCAAAATCACCATCCTCTGAAATATACTTTCTGATAAAAATACTGATAAGTCACTTAGTATTTCTCATAAATCTATAATCGTTGCAAGAGACAAATACTAGTTTTTTGTCGAAAAACAAATGTTTTAAACTTGATTTGCATCAATATATCATTATATTTTTCCTAGTCATATATCTTACATGTATATTGTACAAATATGATAAAACTGAAATCGTATTGTTATTTGTAAATGTTCTGTATATTCTTCATGAATTCAAGGTAATGGTTTTCTGTACTGTAATATGGCTCACATGAGCTTAAATCTCAGATGAGTTTTTTGTAGGGCACCTACTGTCCGTTGTCTATCTGTAAACTTTTAACATTTTCAACTTCTTCCAAGAACCTATGGAGCAATTTTTACCAAAATTGGTACAAAGTAAAATTTGAAAATGAAGGGCTACATCTCCTTCTGAGTGGAGATAATCAAAAAGAATATAGTGCGTGGGTCATTTAAAAATCTGCAGAACCACTGGATCAGAAAATCGGAAACATGTGTAAACATCCTGGGATAGTGTAAATTCTGAATTGTACAAATCATAATCCCTGGGAGTAGAATGGGGCAACAACAGGGAATTCAAGTTTAACATTGAAATACGAGAGGTGATCAAAAAGTTCGCGAACTAATGAAATAACTTCCGAAAAAAATGATATGGGGTTTCAGTGTTGAAAATGTTTTAAAGTAGTCCTCTCCTATTTTAATGCGTATCTGCAACCATTCTACCCATGCGCGGATCACGTGATACAGGCGATCACGTTACATGCTCTTAAGAGTCCTGTCAAAGAAGCTTAAAATTTCTTTTTGATCAACCCTCGTATACAGAAAAAATCTTTGAACATCTTCATCTCATGAACCACTTTGTCATATACTATATAGACTGAAACTTATATGAAAACATCCCGGTGAAAACATCCTGATCCAGGGGGTAGGATGAGACAACACTTGGGAATCTGAGTTGACATTGAAATACAAAGTGTTTATGGGAAAACCTTTCTTCTTAAGAAGCACCGACCAGAAAAACTGAAACCTATGTGGAAGCTGTAGATTCTAAATTGTTTACATCATGACCCCGGTAGGTAGGGCGGGCCACAACAGGGAATTCAAGTTTTACATTGAAGCTCATATAACTAAAAATTCTTTTTAATGACTTCATTTCCAGAAAAGCTGAAATTTGTGTTGTAGCATCACTGGGTAGTGTAGATTCTAAATTTTTCAAATCATAACCCCGGGGATACGACGGGCTCACAATAAGAAATGCAAATTTTATCTTAGGAAACATCATCTCCTCAAAGACCACTCGGACGGAAAAGCTGAAACTTATGTGGTAAAATGCTGGGACAGTGTAGATTCTTATTTTTTTCAAATAATGACCCATGAGGGGAGGGTAGGGTGGGGCCGCAATAGGTTTTTACTTTAAAATATAGGAAAAAAATCTTCTAAAGAACCAATCGGCCAGAAAAACTGAAACTTTTATGGAAACTTTACTAGATAGGGTAGATTCGTGGGCCACAAGGTAATACGAGGCAGAGATCTGGTGAAAACAGCAGATGAGCGTTGTAGGCTATGAGCCTCTTGTATATCTAATTGCTGAGTAATATGCGGATTTCTAAACTCAAAATAGGAGTTATTACGGGATTATGAGGCAATTATTATGATTATGTGAATCCTCACAATAAATTAAAGATTTGGCATTTCAAATTCAGGGACGAATAGAATTATTCCTCGAAAAATATGAAACATTGAATTTTTAAATACTCTGACAACTCAATAGGGAATTACTTACCAGATAAACAGAATATTTCCAACACATCTTTTTGAAGTCATTTTGTGTTTTCATCAATATTTTTAAAGCTTTTTTGCTCAAGCATAGGTGGCGGAAGCGCATTGTGCTTCCTCCTGTGTGTTGCTTAGTAAATATAATGTTCTTGTTTATGGTTTTATGGAAATATAATTTAATTTCAGTTGTAACACGTCATTTGATTGGTTAAACGGTTTTATCTATTTTGTATAACTTAACTTGCCTACGTCACAATGAGTTACATCAAAAACGTATTACTCTGCTTGACGTTAACTTTTAAAATATGCAATATTTGAAGGCTTTTTCCGAAGGAAAAATTGGAAATATTATATCATGGTCTACATTGAAATTAAATAATAAGGAATGAAGTTTATTTCAACTTATGTTATACGATATAACATAACTTGGGACAGTTTACGCTTTTTTTAATAAACCGCTTCGCGGTTTATAAAGCGTAAACTGCCAAGTTATGTTATATCATATAACAAAAGTTGAATAAGCTTCATTCCTTAAGTAAAAAAATAGTTGCTCGCGTGAAAATTCTGTGCATAATTATGGTTTTATGGAAATATAATCTAATTTTAGTTATAACACGTCATTTGATTGGTTAAACGGTTATATCCATTTTGTATAACTTAACTTGCCTACGTCACAATGAGTTACATCAAAAACGTATTACTCCGCTTGACGTTAACTTTTAAAATATGCAATATTTGAAGGCTTTTTCCGAAGGAAAAATTGGAAATATTATATCATGGTCTACATTGAAATTAAATAATAAGGAATGAAGTTTATTTCAACTTATGTTATACGATATAACATAACTTGGGACAGTTTACGCTTTTTTTAATAAACCGCTTCGCTGTTTATAAAGCGTAAACTCCAAGTTATGTTATATCATATAACAAAAGTTGAAATAAGCTTCATTCCTTAAGTAAAAAAATAGTTGCTCGCGTGAAAATTCTGTGCATAAACAAGAAATATTCGTTTATGGATAAAATGATCGTGTGAAAAAGGGTTTGGGAATATGATCCTTAAGAAAATCAAAAACAAAAATCCTTAAAATAATTTTATTTTTTACACATGCTATAGAATTTATTTAAAATATGTCACTTAGAATGATCGGAGATTGTATTAAAGTTCAGGATGTTCGATTTGCAAATGGAAACACAATTGCGATGGGTCTAGTGGAGATAAAAATTAAAGGTGCGTGGGGAACTATCTGTAATAATGACTGGGACGATAATACAGCAGCTGTAGTGTGCTCAATGCTTGGACTTTCAAGGTGAGACTGGGGAGAAATGATTATTTCTATGTTGCCTCTTGTGATTATTTGAATAGCCGGTAATAACATCCGACAGAATTTATTGCATCTATCTACAGATAAACCTGAGTGAAAGAGGATTAAGAATTAATTTAAAACAAGTTTATTTGAAAGAAATTGTTAGTTAAACAAGATGAGATAAATTACAATAGAGTAAATTGAAATAAAATATGAATCTTCTCAGACAAAATGCAGTGTCCAAGAACGGGTCTTTCTTTGAACCAGGATATGGACTTATATGGATGGATAAGGTTAAATGTACTGGAAATGAAATAAATTTATTCCAGTGTCCTAAAGCAGAATTTGGAGATGACAATTGTGGTCACAGCGAAGATTTGGGAGTTAGTTGCTCATTGGTAAGAAAAATTACGGCAGTATTTTTTATTTGAATATTTGCCGCTTTACCTCTGTATATAGTTTCTCATTCAAGATAGTTACCAATATAAGATATTTAAACACTGATGACTTTAAACGAGACTGTTGATATTCTTGTTCATTAACTTGCTTGTCAATAAATTACATCGTTTTAGAAAATTAGAGCATGCTCTTGTCCGTATCGAATTCAACTGGGGCCCAGTTATAACATTTCCCTACAATGTGATTTTTAGA